CAGTTGCCTTTCCTACGTACCACCCTTTGACTGACGACACTTCACCTGCGCTGCCGTGTCGCTAGCGCCGCCCCATGCAAGCTGAAGTTTGCAGGATTGAACATCCATGATCGGCTTATCATATCCGATAACGCCGCATCTGTGCGGGGTGGTGGTGCGGTTAGAGGAAGCGCACCATCATCCTACACAGACACAGATAGACGCAGATACAAAGGAATCTCAGCTTCGGAGAATGACGTCAGGAAGTCACGTATGTCCATATTGGTTGAGCGTCATTCGATCAACAAGTACTTTACTAATCACATGATAGCGGATGGTCAACCTTCACAGCTAGGCAAACAGCAGTTTGTAGCGACGCCGACACAAGCTTCTTTATTTTCAGTTCTGGTCTGCCTTTATGGTCTAGCGAGCAGTTAAGCAACACTTTGACGATAAAAAATCCTTGCCCCAGACAGCACCGTGGATCAAATAATCAACCACAGCAAACTCAGCTTTGCAGACCCCTGCAGTTACATTTACATTCATTTCATTGAAGGCGCATCCACGTGGTGGTTGTTCTACGCCTAGTCGTTCAAGATGAAAAACCCACACAGGGTGCACAGAGATACACAAATAAGCACAGTTGAAAGAAGTATCAATAAATGAGTCAGCGATTTAAAAGAACCAAGAATGCCTGGCGCGAGGGGGTGCGGACACCCACCACAGGCAGCCGGTTCCACGCGGGGGCGCAGTACGGAAAATGTCGCTGGTTGGAGGTCAATCGGACATGCAGCAGATGTAGTGAGCCGGCACCGCCCGAAACAGCTGAAGTTGAACGTTGGGAAGACCCGGCGTGCGTCTCGAAAAAAGCACGCAGTGCACTAGGGGATTCGGGGCCGTGCAGTGCCCTGCTCACATTTAGGCGGTCCCGGTGGTGCACACGACCCGCGATGCTGTGCTAGCAGAGCGCTTCCAGGAACGGGTGAAATGTGATCGCTTCGGCGGACACCACTCACTAGCCTGGCTGCGGGGTGCATCATCCTCTGCACCCTGTCCAGACGACGCTCGGTCGTTCCATTCCAGATGGACAGGCGGTAGAGGTTGTGGAGATGTGGGGCATCAGCCCCACCATCTCCACGCGAAGCTGACAAGTACCCAGAGCGTTCAGAACGTGCCCAGAGGCGGGAACCAGACAGGCGGGCGGAGCCAAACGTGAGCCTAGGGAGATGACGCCGAAAACACGGCTGTCTGTCAAAGATGCTCGACTTCCAGAGTCAATTAATGCGTCACTCACCATGAGCCCGTCAATGGCTACGCCAGCTGTCCGGAGGCTCACCGCCCGGCCGTCAGCCCGCCGCCATCCCGTCTCGCCGAAGCCTCTTGAGATGACCGAGGCCGCGGCAGGACCAGCATGGGACGGTCCGCCGCCCGAGTCTGCACCGCAGTGGCGGCTCCTCTTCTGATGGCGTGTCATCAGCTGCCTCCTTCGCGGCGTTGGGCGCCGTGATCGCCCACCGCCGGGAGCACCGCCGCGCCGGCCGGGCACCGAGCCTGCCATTGTCCAGCGGTGCGCGGCTCCGGGCGGCTGGCGTGGTGGCCTTCCGCTGGCCAGCGGTGAGCGGCCTGGGCCGGCGGGTGCGGTCCGAGGTGTGGTTCGGCGATGGAGCTGGCGATCCGCCACGCCGCCGGCGTTCCCGGCCAGCGCCCGGTCGCCTCGGCGTCCGGCTAGCGCGATTAGCGGCTGCTTCCCCCACCGAACGATTCGTAGAGTACATCCCACGTCCATCGTGATAGGAGTCGTCTGCTTCCCTCAGGTCTTGCACCCTGCGAAAGTGGGACGCAGGTGCCGGAAGCGATCGCGAGGAGACAGAGGCCACCGCGCCCAATTCCACCCAGTCTTCCAATGGTTCACTTCTTGGAACCAAGTCTTCCAAGGACGTTGGCTGTGAGAAGGTTTAGCTCCGCAGGACTGGACGAGGCGCTCTTCTCGCATGTCAGCTCACAGGCTCGTGCGATGCCACGCCTTGGCGTGATAGCACGCATTTCTCGTCCAGTGAGAGACCGACGATAAAATAAAGACGAAGCGCTGCTTGGTAGGCTGGCACGTGCGCCTTCGTTACACCTTTCACCGCGTCAAAAATTCCGGGCAGGCATCATTTGATGATGTCATATGTTGATGATAAAAGAACAGCCCAAATCGGACATTGTCCCCTTTTGCACGGCACTCAGCAGTGCGGCTACCGTCTCGGGCCTCGCATATGCGAAGGCTTCAGTGAGTAGCAATGTCCCTCTGTCCGGCTCGCCAGCGCTGTTCACAGCCTGCATCGCGAGCCCGCGGCATCCCGTCGCCGTGATGCTGGCGAGCTTGCCGGCGGGGATGCTTTCCAGTTCCGCCAAGCCCCGACATTGCCGGATGAACGCGTTTGGTGACGCTGAACCGCCGAAAATCGGGAAGTCTGCTAAGGACACCTTCAACGTTGGTGTGTGGTCTTGGACGTCCCCCGGCATCTTGAGACCGCTGCCATTGCTCGGAATCACCGATGAAATGACAATCCCGCCACTGCCACCACGTCGCGGCTGTCCGTGAGCGGGCCAGATGCCGCATGACCAAACTTGTACTCGCCAACCGGCTTCGCTCCTCAGCGCTGACCTTGGTTCCTCGGGACATCACGTGACCAGGGGTTAGCAGTGGCGGACGCAGGCAGCTAAAAAGGAGGGTCTGACAGCTGCCAGCTGTCAGCACGACACACCTGTCCTATTTTGGTTTCCATTTTGCTCGGGCTGCTCTTCGACAGCGTCTGAAACTATGAAGAATGGAGCCTCATTAGTCCCCATGCGTGCATCACATGGCGGTGCTCTCAGAACCGTAACGCCAAAACAGAACACATACAAGATGGCTAATAAACATCGTTCAAGGCAATGGTGAAAAATCGACTATTGCTGACCTGCGGCGGCGAGTGTTTGATTTGCGCCACATCTCCCAGTCAAGCGGGCGGACCGAGAGCGAAAGTCGTTCCCCATCGCCTAACACCCTCCTCACATGCTACCTGGTGTACTCATCACACACTCATCACATGCTACCTGGTGTCAACTTGTGAGTGAGAGCGCTCAGGGTGGTCAGCTGTGTCAGGTCAACTCAGAGTCGAACGTCAGCGATATGGCATTGGGTGTCGAAAATACCCGGCGCACAAGTCGCGTATGCATCCAAGCAGAGATGTTATTTCATATTGTAGTGGGGAAGGGAGCCTACAGCTCTCTCTTCGGAAACAAATAGGAACCAAGCTGGTGGAAAAAATATTTTTGACTTTTCTTAGGGTGGGGTGGGGGACTCTTTGTACTCAGGCCCACCTCCATTTTATTTTACGCAGCTGCATCCTGCACCCACTCTCCTTGCCTAATTAATCGTCTCCAGAAGAAATGCGACCGAAGTCTGACAGGTCTCACTTGTCTATGCATACTGTTGCACAAGGTATCGCGGTCTTTCAGTCTGTTTGTCGTCGTTTTACGTCGACACGTCCGCAGGCTAAGCGGTGCGCGCTTCAGGGATGAAAATTGTACTCGACGCGCGGGCACACGCGGCTGCTTTTCACATGTAGCATGCGAGCTGGCATGGTCCATAGTTCGGGCGTGGTGTGTGCCGGGAAGGTCATTTTTAAGCCCACAGGTTTTGCATGGGCGGCTCGAAAATTTTGGCTCACACAAAATCGGCAAGCAATAGTTTGAAACGGTGGCCACATCTCGGCAACAAGGTGTGGGAGCGACATAAAATTGGTACGCACTGAACAGAAATGGAACGAGGGGTTGTGTCCCGCTACGAGTGCAGCTGCACGGGCAGCTAGGAAATATTCAAAGTGCTGCTGACATTGTGTGAAATTGTGGCAGAAAATCCGCCCCGCGTGAGCGAGCCCGCCCACGCAATGAAGGCGTGAACCCAACTCTAAGCCGTCGACTGACGTACCGTCATCATTCATGTGGCTAACGCCGAACTGTGCGACGTACGGTTGCGCCACTAATCGTCGAACAAGCCGGAAATGTCGAAATTTGGAAAATGTGCCGAATGCAGCTCCCTGTCGTCGAAACTGTCGTCAGTGATGCGGCAAAGTTTGTGTTGCTACTTGCGCCGATTCATTGACTGCATTTACCACCCATTTATCAATCGTCTCGTGTACTGATTCATTTAAACATAAACTTTACTTAAGGTGTAACAATACACATTTTCGCAACATCAAAATGCTTCGCATGTTAGTCGTCGCCACCGGGCATTCCAAGTAAACGACATTAATCGCACGCGGTGCGTGTGAGCCGGCGGCCAGCGGTAGTTTATTCAGAATTTATCCCGTGAATCGCAATAAATCAGTTATAAGTATGCTATCCCCTTGCAAGTGCCACTTTGCTGAAGACGTTCTGCTGGATATTATGGTTGTATATTTGTTACTGGGTCGGCTTACAACCCTTTGATACGGACTAAAGAAAGGGGAAGACACCATTGGAGAAACTAGAGGTCTCCCAAAGTTGGTCACATTCACTGACTCGAGTAGCGCATGAAGAACGATTCTTCAGAGGCGGGATGCCCGGCGTGACTTAACCGTGTTTCTAAAATATGCGCCATTCTCTCCAAACTAATTACGTATCTCCTGCGTACGGTCTTTTCATCCGCAGCGGCTGGCTTTGCCAAGGTTGCCAAAACCAAAGGCTAAGAATGAAAATTACGGAGCGTTACCAATGAAATAAGCTCTGCAACAGAGATCCACTTGAGCATTGTAACTCCCAACTTCCAAACGGAGTTAACTCTATTAATGAAATCGAGGCATTACGGTGTCTTCAGTCTCCTGGCCATGGAATCTTTTGCATTAGAATTGAATTACGAATGCGAATGAGCCTGTACGATTTTAGTCTGCAGCGCCGTCGCGCCGTCCCCCCCACGCGCCACATCACCCATGAACAGCGCTGCAGCGCCGCCGTCTGGTGGGCGGCAGTAACGCCCCTGGCGGCGTATTTGCGAACCGCTATGGCCGCCGGAGTCGCGCGCGGCAGACGCGTTATTGATTGTGGAGTGCTCGCAGTGGGTCGCTGGCGGTCGGAGTCGTAGCCGGTGTATCCAGCGTGGGGCGCGTGCAGATCCGGCGACTCAGCAGCTCCGCATCCGGCCAGGTAGGCGCTTTGGCAGCCATGCTGTTCACCGTGACGCGCTGGTCCGCATGTCCGTCTGCGTTTCCGTACACACCCGGCTACGACCCTGGACCATTTTCTCGCCTTCCGTCTTAAATTCTGAACGAGGGGACGCGGCGGATTTCCCAGTGGGGAAGGGGACGGCTATAAATAGGAATGTCCATCTTGGAGGGGAGGGGGAGTGAATGGGTGCTTGTCTTCGCGTTTCAGGGGAATGACGGGACGTGCGGGAAGCCTAACGAATCGATCCGTTCGGAGGCCGCCCACCGCCGTCCCGAGACGTAGCGAAGATTGCGGACACGGGCACTCGGCTGCCCTTCATATTCAATGTAATTTGGCCAGCCTAGGGTGTGTCCTGACGCGGGTTGTTCCCAAATGTTAACTCTGAGTCAGCGAGCGCGCAAACAGCTGCAGTCTTGTGTGCTGTGTGAAGGTTGGTAACCTGTTTACTGTCGTACTTTTGCTGCCCTGTTTACTAGCCGGTCTGTTGGAAGAATTTGTGCTGCGGAGGCAATCTCAAGTATCTCTCTCTACCATTCCGGGCCTGGAAATGTCAGTCGGGAACTGAGATGCGCGCTGCCAGCATCACCGCCACCGTCCCGACGTCATCTCCCTCCGGCCGCGTAAAATAAACAAGCGAGGGGTGGACAGCTTAAAAGAAGTAAACAGCAAGCGCTAGCTGAACAATGAACAGTGATGGGTCAATGCACAAACGGCCCGGTCTCTGTTACGTAAAGTGTCTCGTTTACGCCAGTCGGTCCGGCAAAGAAACGGCAAATTAAGGGCACCTGTGGAGCAGTGGGCCTACTTCGGCGACAGATTACGGCCCAGATGAGGCGCAATGGCTGTCAGCTAGCCTGTTGGCTTCGCCTCCGAAATGGCATATCGTGATTGTGCTCGCCTCATGGCTGCTCCCCGCCGAGCCCATCGCCCGTCTCAATGGGATCCCGACTCCGCCGTGTGGAGGTGGCCGGCGGCGTGACCACAATCTCATCATCGCGACGTCATCCATCTCCCGAAGAACCGGGCCGCAAGCGAGTAGCTGGGCTACATTCGGGCCCCCCACGGCTGCGGCGTCGTCGGCTGTCCGCACCGCCCGCGACGCTCAGCACGGAGGCGTCCAGTCCGTCCGCCGGCGACGACCCCGTTGTGTCGACGGCTGTCAGCGAGCCCGCCGCCAGACGGGCGGCAGCGGCCGGCCGGCGCCCGCGCCGCCCGTTCACGCCCTATTTGCTCCCCGGCGCAGGAGGGGCCGTGCTTGAGGCGCTCGCGGGCCGGCCGGGCCACCGGGCGCGGGGGGGGGGGGGGGTCCCGCCCTCCCCGGTCTTCGCGGCGCTGCGCACATCTGCAGGGCGTCATATTTCGGCGTGAGCTGACGCGTTGTCGGTGGCTGGGGCCGGCTCTGACGCGCGGGCCCTGAACCGTTGACACAGGCGCCGTCCAAGCCAGCCAGGCTCGGCTCATTATCATAATGTAAAAAATATGCAGTAATACTTGGGGTACCAGTTGCGAGCGACACTTCATGTCATAGACAGTGCGCCCATTGGAGCGTCTGTTAGCAGTACTGTTTATTCGGGCAAGGCTGAGCTGCAATTTCTCTCCCCAGTCATTGATCGCTCGGGGCGACGATGGCCGCTTGGGCCGGTCCATGTTTTAATCAGAGAGTTAGACTGCTCCAACCCCGACTTATGACCGACATATTCCTCACGGTACCAGGTCAGTCTGTCTGGCCGGTGCTGGTGCCGCCGATCACCTGGTAGTTGGTCCGCCGGTCCACCGCTGCGCCGGTCAGCTGTTCCGCTGGCTCGCCGGTCAGCTGGTCCACTGGTTCGCCGGTGACCTGTTCCGCTGGTCCATCGGTCAGCTTTTCCGCTGGTTCGCCGGTCAGCTGATTCGCTGGTCCGTGGTCTGCCTGTCGGCTGGTCAGCTGGTCAGCTGTTCCGCTGGTTCGCCGGTTCGCCGGTCCGCTGTCCCGCTGGTCCGCTGGCCAACTGTTTCGCTGGACCACGGGTCAGCTGTTCCACTGGTTCGCTGTTCCGCTGGTCCGGTGGCCTGCCGGTCCGCCGGTCCGCCGGTCCGCTGGTCCGCTCTGGATCTGTGAGGCTCGTCACACCGGCGCACCTGGCCGATGTTCCGCTGGTCCGGTGGTCCGCTGGTCCGCTCTGGATCTGTGAGGCTCGTCACACCGGCGCACCTGGCCGATGTTCCGCTGGTCCGGTGGTCCGCTGGTCCGCTCTGGATCTGTGAGGCTCGTCACACCGGCGCACCTGGCCGATGTTCCGCGATCATCTGTCGTCTCGTCGAGAGTAAGAGCCGCGTCGCGACGCCGGGACAGATGGGTGCTTGTCAACGGCCGACACCGTTTTCGACTTTCGTCTGACCCCCTTCTACCGGCACCGCGCTCGGAAGTGCGCTACGGCGCGCTGGCCGACGTCGGCACGTCCATCAGATCTGGGCGCCGGCGGGCGCGATGGCGCGTCAGCCGGCCGGCCCCGGGACGCCGGACGGGGTCTGCGGCGGTGACGCCGCGTCTCCACGTCACCCCCGGGCTGGGGACACGCCAGGTCAGCCGGCCGGCCCCGGGACGCCGGACGGCATCTGCGGCGGTGGCGCCGCGTCTCCGCGTCCCCCCCCCCCCCGGGCTGGGGACACGCCAGGTCAGCCGGCCGGCCCCGGTACGCCGGACGCCGTCTGCGGCGGTGGCGCCGCGTCTCCGCGTCACCCCCGGGCTGGGGACACGCTAGGAAGCGCCGGAGTGGTGGCGCCGCACTTGCGATCTCGTCATCCGCCCCTGCGCGATCAAAACATCAATCAGTCAATGTGTTAAGTCCGCTGGTTGTAACGCGTTCGTTGATGTTGCGTCAGGACGTGCCGAGCAGGAGTAGGACTGCCCCGCTGTTGTTGACGTCGATAAAAACTGACCAGCAATGCTGACATGGCCCGGCGCTTAGATCTACATGGGCTGCATCCTAGTGCTTGTCGTTTTTGGTCCCATGGCTCACGCAAGCTGACGGTCTTGTTGGGTTACTTGAGAGGATGAAAAAATAAACAAGAGTCACAGCGCGATGGTAACGTGTCTCCTGAAAGCAAACGCATTTGTGCACGGGGGCAGTGACGCAATCTGTGGTCACTGCTTTCCCATGGACGCTTGCTCGAATTTCCATTAGAGTGTGGTTGGTCAGTTGTGAGAATATGACTTAAAGCAGTGACGTGGAGAGGCACTTAACCATGACGGTAATATGGCGTTTTTAGCGCGGTATCTTTTTGCCAGAGATTTAGACTCATGATAGTCATCGCATTAGCATTGTTCCGCGGCATCACCGACCTACCTGGTGGCTAAGAAACGGGTATTTGCTTTTCCTGAATGTGGGAAAGGCATACGGTCATGTTTTTGTGTGTGGACGGATGAATAATTACCCACTAATGACCCGTTCCCGCGCTACCCCGCGCCGCATGACCGCCGCGACCGCCAGAGGTTGCGCGGGCTGCGGCGGAGGAGGCACCTTCACCGGGCCGGAATCAGCCTTGGCGGGGTAATGGTAACCGCAGCGCCGTGAGAGCAGGCCTCCTCCCGTGGATTGCCGCCCCCTCCCCAACATTCGCCCGCTCTGAGGACCAGAGCGTGAAGTATGACGACTGCCGGCTGTCAGCCAGAGCTCTGGCGACGCTGTTGCATGCGGCTCGGAAGCCATGGCAACGCCTTGGTTTCGCCTTGTTGCATGCGCCTCGAGGAATATGAGCTTGATAACGCCGCTCGGCCCAGCTGGAGACAGAGTTACGGATATAGCTGGCCGCTAATTATTCCTTGTGAGCCATCGGAACACGAGATCTGACGTTTCCGTGATCAGTGGAGATTCGGGCGGCGGTGCTATGTTATCAGGCCTGGCAGAGATCGAAGATGTGGTGTCAGGCCCTCAGGAGGCGGTCTCCGAGGAGATCGACGATGTCGAGACGGACGCTCGGGGCGGGGCGGGGCGTCTCCGCGGTTACCGGCTGCAGCTTTTGTAGCATTTGGGCGGCAGTCCGTGTCACGCCAAACGTTGTGCTTACAGACGGTGTCACGTTCGCGCCCCGCGGGTATCCAGTTACAGGGCCCTTACGCTGAGCGTGCGCTCCGGCAGGCTCAAGGACTCAGCACTCGTGGGCCCGCTTGCGCGCTAATCTCCTGACTGCGCTGTTAAAGTCCGCTCAGAGGGCCAATGGATAGCCGTGGCTTGGAGGAGTGCAGCCCTCGGCGTAGTCTAAGTGGTCGTGGTAGCGCTTGGGGCGGTGTAATCCGGTTGTTATGAAGCTCTCTCGCGTACACAGGTTCATGCGTGTAAACACAAGCTGCCCTCACCAGAGTTGCGTTCTGAAACATAGGAAGAAACATCGGCGACATGTTTACATTCAGAGCATAATGCAATACATTCCACTGATGAATTCATCATTGGATAAGGACAAATTATTTTTCATTCATTCGCATGCCATATGGATAGGATGCAATCTCTCCACGCAGACAGTATCGACACATGTTGGACGTTGAGGCAGAGTTGTGGCGTGATCACATACCGACGCGATTCGCCCACGGACTAACCCCGACAAAGTCCGTCGGGTTCGAGGCTTATCTAATCGGCCCTATGAAGTGTCGGTCGACGTTCTTGACACGAAAGGTTTAGATAATTCGCGGTATGTGTGGTCTTATCAAATAAGTCAATATGCACAGTCAGGAGACGAGAGGCTTCCTGGCCACCGCCTCCACTTTTGGTTGACTGGAGGGAAAGCCTTGGATACTTTGGCTGCATCGCTGCGCCCAGCACATGGTTTAGTGCTGGGACAAAGCCGGTACGGCGCCCACGGTGTGGCGGTGAGCTAGCCTGTCGGCCTGCGTCGGCTTCGGCGACGCCGCGTCATGTTTTGGCTCCCCTCGCCGCTGATAAGGCGCGCAACGCTCACGACGCGCGGTGTTGTCGCACGAAGCGGACGCGGTGCAGTGTACGCCT